GCGTGTGCGTGAGTGTGTGTGCGTGAGTGTGTGCGCGTGTGTGTGTCAGTGTGTGCAGTGTGTGTGAGGGGAGGGAGGGAGGGAGGGAGGAGGAGGGATGGAGAGAAAGAGAGAAAGAGAGCGAGCGCTCCAGAGAGCCACCTCCCGCCCGCCAGGCCCCCGGACGCGGCCCCTCCCCCGCCGGGCGGGCCGTTACGCGGCGCGGCGCGGCGGCGGGGGCTCGGGGTCCCCCGGAAGGGCGATGCGGGGCGCGCGGCGGGGAAGGGGCGCGGAGACAAAGAGCGGCGGGCGGAGGGGGAGGGGCGGCGGCCGCGCGGAGGGGCGGAGGCGGCCGGCGACGCGGCCCGGCGGCGCGGGGTTCGGAGTTGCCGCTACTTCGCAGCCCGCGGGAGCCGGCCCCGGGGGAGCGGCCCCACCTCGGCCCCCCGGGGCCTGCGCCTCCTCCGCCAGCTCCGCGAAGGCTCCCGATTCCTCCGCCTAACGGACCTCCGCCGCGTGGTCCTCTGCGCGGAGGCCCCAGGGGACCGCGGGGAACTGGACCGACCCGGTCCCGGCCGTGGGGCTCGAGGCGCAGTCCGGTGTGGGTAGGGGGTAGGTGGGGGGTAGGGGGAGACGAGTGGGTTGGCCCGGTGCTAGGAGGCCAACGCTGGGAGAGCACACTGGGTGGGGGTGCGGGGCGCTGGGCCCTGCCAGGAGGCGGGGTGAGGAAGGCGATGGGGGTGATTCGGGAGGATTCCCAGGAGGAGGGGATGTGGTAGCTGCTCCGGCGGGCCAGGCCCGGATGGAAGAGCTAACGGGGCTGGAGTGAGAGGCGGGTGGGCGATGGAGAGAAGGCGATGAGGCTGCAGAAGTGGAGGGGACGGGTGGCCAGAGGGCTTGCATTTATCCTCAGCCGCAGGGGAAAGTAACGGGGGAGGGAGGGGCTCGGAATTGCATTTTAGGAAACCCCCCTGGCTCCTCCGTGGCGTCTGGTCCGGAGAGGGCAGCCTGATGGCAGGCTCATGAGACTATGGAGAGATGATGGCAGTGGGCATGAAGATCAAAGACCAAGTTGACAACTACTCAGGATGTGGGAGTGAAGAGATTGACAGTCTTTGGGGCCTGGCTGGCCACGGAGGGAGGAGGGGTCCAGGAGGACTGCAGGCTTGGCCCTGGAGGTGGAGCTGGCAGGACTGAGGGGATGGGAGGGATGAGATCAGACTTGGACCTGGCGAGCTGGAGGTGGAGGCGGGCCAGGGGGAGATAATGTAAAAGTCAACAGCGAGCTACCACACTGCGATGGCCTGGGAGGTGCCAGGACTGTGCTAAGCACTTTTCTCAGATTAAAAATGAGGCAGGTGTTCCTATTACTCCCCCTTTAAAGAGGAGGAAACAGAGACTCAGAAGAATGAGTGTTTAAGAGCAGGCGGTGGGGTCCAGAGCTCAGGGGAGAGGGGTGTGGTCTGTAGGAGCAGGGTTTCCCACTGGCCAGTGCCTCTGCCATCTCAAGTCTCTGAGGGGCTGTGAGGGGTGGCATCCTGAGCCAGGATGGTCTTGGTGAGGACAAAATGAATACTCTAGGGGCCAAAGGAGATCTGTAGGAGTTTGGGGAGTCTCTGGGTGTCTTTAGGATCTGCCGGCAGCCATGGGGTGCTGGCTGGATTGTGAAGGGGAGGTGGTGGCGACGTTGGTGACAGCCTGTTTGTTGTCCGGGGTCTTTATGGGCATGGCTTAGGGCATCTGGTGAGATCTGGGCGGGAGGTGGGAGTGGGGAGATTGGTTATATGGCCCCTGAACGGGATGGGGATGTGACGTCAGTGCTGGGGGTGAGGAGCAGGCTCTGTGGGAGGGTGTCTGCCAGACCATGGGACCTGGGAGGGTCCCATATTTCTAGTGATGACTTTGCTTCTGGGAATTAAGAAAACCTTTATCCAATTTCCCTCCCCCAATGGCAAGTGTCGGAGTTGTCCCCCAACTACCCAACCTCCTAAGAAACCGGCAGGTGACAGGGTGGGCTGCCCATAGCCACTGGGCACACAGCCCAAACATGGACATGGCTCATGGGCAAGTCACATAAACTTTCAGCAAAGCCACACACACACACACACACACACAGCACCTCAGCCACACTCCACTTAGGCTTAGACATGGCGGGGGGGGGGGGTACTTGGCCCACCTTTGGGAACATACCATGTGCAGGCCCCTCCCCTATGACCCAGGACAGGTGAGCAGCAGGATCCCTCCCTGGATGCTCCACCCCAGTCCGACAGCAGAAGCCCTCAACCCCCATATCTCCCCACGCAGGGAGGTCCGGCCATTTCACTTCTTGGCCGTTTCAGAGCAGAGCCTCAGTGACCTCTAACTCTGGGCCAGCACCTATGACCTTGTGGTTTGACCTGGGATTCAGCCACCCAGATATCTTGCCAGAGGTGTTCCAAGAACGATCCTGAGAGGCATGGTCATCACCCCCAGGTTTCCAGGTGACCTCAGGTGGGGAGCTGCCCTGAGAGGCATGGTCATCACCCCCAGGTTTCCAGGTGACCTCAGGTGGGGGCGGGACTGGATGGGTCCTGCGTGGCCCTGAGGTGTAGAACCAGGGTGTTTGAGAAAGCAAGCTACGGGAAGCCAGAATTTGGCTTGACATGAGTGAGACCTGTGTGACAGCCATCCGCTAGGTGCTTCAGGAGTAGGCGTTGGTACAGGCCTACCAAGGTGACCTTGAAGGGCCTTGATGTTGGGACTCCCACTTCTTAGGGCAAAGGGAAATATGAGAATCTCCTTGGGGAGTCAGGCTGCTGAACACAAGTGCCTTGTGCATTAGTTTTCTCACACACACACACACACACACACACACACACACACACACACAGGCACACGGTACCCCGAGCAGGGAGGGGCTGCTCCTGGAAATGGCCACAAGTCTTGGTCCTCTTCCCGCTGCCCTCGCCGCTTTGGACTTCACAAAGGTTGGCCCCTGGAACCCTGGCGCGTGGGCTCCCAGGCCCATCATGTTAGAGCTGGGGAGTTAGCCACCAGCCCCGCTGGCACAGAGCAGGGGGCTCAGACTAGTGCAGGCCTCTCCAGGGGGCTCCCAGAGGTGGACCCTAGGGACAACACTGCTCTGACATGTCACTACCGCCCCCCAGCTGCCACCTCTGGGAACCTCAGCTTGTTCAGGGTGCCTGTGAGAGGAGGGGCTGGGTATCCCCATCGGGTTAGAGGATTTCTCCAGGGAGGGACTTGGGGTTCATCTTACCAGATCTACCCCATCCTGGAATCCCATCAGCGGCCTTGTAAAAAGGAATGGGAAGCACCTAAGGAACTCTCTAGAAACCCCAGCGTTGCCCAGTCGGAATGGGTAAAAAAGCATGGGTACTGATGGGGGCAATGGTAGCAGAGAGGGGGTGTCTGAACCTGGGCTTTCCTCAGAAAGATACTCGGGGGCAGAGGAACACTGGTGGTGGGAGGAGACTGCTGGGCAGAGTGGCATCCCTGTCCTCCCTCCATCACCCTCCCATGAATCAAGAAACCAGGCAGCGAGGCTCTGGGGGCTGCGTTTATGGGACGACCTGACAGAGGGCATGGTCCGTACAAAACCGGAAACAATACATACATATATATATTATATACAGAGACGCAGTCCTGCAGAGGGCGGGATGGGGGCACTGACCAGAGAAACCGGAAGCGCCTACAGCCCCACCTGCCTGGCCCCGCCCCCTCCATCTGCGAGGGCATAGGTGAAGTGCGTGGGCGGGGCACTGAAACAGCCAGCTCTTTCAGGGGTAGGAAAACGTCTGGAGACAGGAAGGGGAGGGGGAGGAAATACTGATAGATGGCATGGTCTATTTATAAGGGACAAGGAGAAGCCAAAAACCCAGGCTGGGGCAGGGGAATGGGGGAGGGGCAGAATGAGAGATGGATTCTGAAAGGGGAGGGGGACCTGAGGGGGTCCTCACCTCCCTTGGTCCAAGCCCCAATTTGGGGTTAAAGTGAGGAAACGAGTCAGTTTCACTTAGAAAGCAGGCTGTCAGCGGGGCAGCCCTGGTCTCCAAAAAGGTTAGTAAAAGGTTGCCCTCCAGTCAAAACCTTGGAAGGGTGTAGGTGTGGGCGTGGGCGGGCGAGGCTGAATCTCTGATGTTAGTCCAAGGCTTCCATGTGTGGCCCTGGGCAGGGCAGGCCTGGCTCTCGGTAAGAAAGCTTTCTCTTGCCTGAGACCAGGTCTCTGCAGCCGGCCCCTAAGCGGATTCCCTCTCTTCCCTAGAATTCCCAGGGCTGGACAGGAAACGACCCCAGAGAGGCCACAGGACAGTTCCAGGAAGAGGTTATGGCTATTTGGCACCAGGGAAGGGCAGGGGGGAGGCACACGGAGAAACTGAGGGCTTCTGCCCCCCTTTCCCTACTCCTACTCCCCTTTTCCTGAAGGGTACGTGAGAAATCAGTGCAGGGCCAGGCCCAGCCTCCGGGCTCTGGGGTGGACTCCATCCCTCCCGGGAGAGGAGAAGGGATGGGAGGAGGTGTGGAGGCAAACCCCTTCCAGAAGGAGGATCAGAACGAAACAGAGACAGCACAATGATGGGGGAGCGGGAGGGCCAGGAAGGTAGAATCTCAAGTCAAGGAGCCCCGTGGGCAGGGAGCAGCCTCCAGGTGGTGAAATGCTGGGGGGCCCCCAGCCCCATTCCAGTCCAGAGACAAAGGCTGGAGGGTGTAAAGTCTGGCAGTTTGGTCTGCAGGTCCTCGCGTCCATCCACCACCCAGGCCAGCCCTCAGCATCCCTCGGCCTCTGTCTCAGCCCCATGAAGTGCGGAGGAGGCCATCCTTCCAGCCACCTGTCTGCCCGGGGCCACCACAACGGGGCCTGTGATATGGGCCCTCTGGTCCCTGAAGCTGGGGGAGGTGGGGCAGAGGGGTGGGGGAGTCGGGGCACCTGTCCCCAGGCTGGTAGGGGGTGGGGTGAAATGGTGAGGACGGGAGGGAGGGCAATGGGAGGGGCTAATTATTGTCTGGGCAAGGAAAGATTCCTGCTAAGTAGAATTGGAATTCCTCAGTGTTTGCAGGTTTCCTTCCAGTTCTGAGATCTGGAAAACAAAGGGGAGAGGGGGTCAGGCACGGGCCCCACTCCTTGTGTCCACTGGTGGGGACCTGGCACTGAGCTCTCAGCCAGCAGCACAACTGAGACCCAGAGTGGGCGCCAGATGGGGGCTTCCCTGCTGTCAGCTCCCCCAGGCCCTGCCCCCGGGCACCCTGGGCCCACCTTGTCCAGGAGCTTGTCCATCTCCTCCTTCCTCGCCAGCTCCGACTCCTCCAGAACCCGGCGCTGTGCGGTCTCCTTTTTCAGGAACTCGATCTCCCTGGTGGTCAGCGGGGACAGATGGTGGGTGAGGGTGTGTGGCCCGGTTTCCATCAGGAAGTGTCAGGACTCTCAATCCTGCCCTAAGCTCCGCTGGGCAGCTCTGCCCACTCCCTGTCTCCGGTCGGGGAGGCCGAGGTGTCCCCAAAGCCTCTGGGGTCTGGTCCTCGTTCCGGGCCAGGTACCCCCACCACGGGCTCTCCAACTCCTATGCTCCTCCCCTCCCTACTCAGCTGGGGATGGGGAAGGACAGCGACTGAGGTCCCTCAGTGCCCCCCAAGCCCCGGGCACTTACTTCTGCTGGTAGTCCTTGATGAGGCGCTTGGCCTTGCTGTACTTGCGCTCCAGGGCCTGGTACTGGGCCTGGGTCTCCCGCAGGTGCTCGTCCACAGCTTGGCACAGGCTCTGGGCCTCGCCCCAGTAGCCCTCCAGCTTCTCCATGCGCTCCTTGTTCTCCTCCACGCTCTGCTCCAGCTGGGCCTTCTCCACCCGCCACCGCCCCTTCTCCTGCTCCAGGCTCTGCAGCTGAGAGAGGGGTGGCCCTGGGTTGGTGGAGCCCAAGGGAGCCCAGGACCTTTCACCGGGCCAGAACCTCTGGATGATCTGGAGCCCACTGCCTCCTGACCACTGACTCTTACTTGGCTGAACCTGAGACTGGAAACCGGAGAAGGAAGAGGTGGGACCTGGGTCTCAGCGCTCCCAGCTGGGGTCCCTGACAATGCACCACACTCCTGCTCCCAGAAGGCAGGAGGCCTGGGTTAGTCACTCATTAGCTCTATGACTTGGGGCAAGGCAACTTCTGTCTTGAGTCTCAGTCTTCTGGTCTGTACAATGGGAGTGATGCTGCCTTGCCACACTCACAGGGCTACAGTGAGGTGGTAGAAGGAGAGCAGAGCAGGGGAAGGTCACCACAACCCTCTGTCCCCTCTGCACCTCTGGCCTACTGACCAGTCCTGCTGCTGTGGCTGCGTGGACAATCCTGGCCCCTCTCCCAGCTCGCAGGCTACACCGGTGCAGACCTCCCGGCCCCAACGACTCAGGCTTGGGGCCCCTGTTCTCTCTCTCACCGCCCACACCCCATGTGTGCCCTCAGAGCCTTGAGTCCTGAGCTCCAGTCCAACATCACTTCCAACTCCTCACAGGTACCAGCCCCCCACTCCGACCCCCCCACCCAAAGGAACTCCTCCTTCCTGTCAGCCGCCTCTGTTCACAGGTGCCATCCTCTCTACTGTCACCCAGTGCTCAGCCTCAAGCCCCTGCCGGCCCCTCCAACCTTATTGGCTACAAATGCCACTTGCCCTCTCTGCCCCAGCCACACAGGCTTCCTGAAGGTCCTCAGGCTTGCCAGGCTCCCTCCTGGCACAGCGTTTGCCCGTGCTGTTACCTCTGCCTGGAGTATTCCCATCTCCCCGCCCGCTTGCCTCATCATCTCCCGCTAGGCTCACCCCTGGGTTCTCGGCTCAGTGTGTCTTCCCCAGAGAGGTCTCCTGGAGCACCTCAACAGCACAGCCCCCATCCCCACTCCCACAGGCCCTGCTGCTCTCAGAGCTCAGTAACCCGTCCTCTCCTACAAAGCCCATGGCGGTCTGTAACGACACAGTCATTGGTGCACAGACTCAGAGCTGCCCAAGGGCAAGGACCAAATCTGCTCCTGTCCGTCACAGGGACTGGAATAGTGCTGGTGAGGCAGCCAGCAGATGTTCACTGATTGAAAGCATGAACAGACCTTTGACTTTCGCTGCCCCTTAATGCCCTGCACCCACCCAGGAACCTGGCCTGCCATCTGCCCTCGGAAGTGCAGCTCCATCACAGCCTTCCCTTCCGCACCCTCCGCCACACGCTGGGCAGCCCTGGCCTACACCTGCCTCCTAAGTTTACTGGCCTCCGAGTCCTGCCCACCTACCCTCCTGTCCTCCCACTTCACAGGCAGAGATCTTTCTCCTTAGGCCCCCATCTGGCCACAGGGCCAAGGCTGGAGTCCTCAGCGGAAGCCAGGACACTGCTCTGCCCACCTGGCAGCCAGCTCCGCTCCTAGGTCTCCCACAGGAACAGCTGCTCCAGCCCCCCGCCCCTCCAAAGCCGGCCTCCGAGCTCAAGCTTGTCTCCTGCTGGCGAGCCTTCCCTCTGCCTCAGTCACCTCCCCCTCCCCCAGGCTCAGCGTCACACTCTTTCTCCATGCCCAGCGGGTGTAAACCCACACATGTACCTCAGTGTACCCTGTCTACATGGCTGTGTACCCCCTCCTTCTCCCCACTGCACTGAAAGCCCCACAGGAGTTAGTACTCCCAATGTCCTGGCCCAGCAGGGGCCCAATACAAGTTTTTCATCTGAAGCCTGTGCATCTCCGTGCCTGTGAGAGTTAGCACCCAGCATGCTTGTGTGGATGGGTGTGTGCGGTGCATACATGACTGTGTATGTCATGTGTGCATCACCATCTGAGAGTGTTAGCATCAGCGCCTCGTGAGAAGGCACGTGTCCTGTGACACTCTTCCTGGATCAGAGCAATGCAGAGGGAGTCTACGTATCCAGGGCGATGGACATGTGAAGCATAAGCCCAGCATCTCCGTGTGCACAGAGCAAATGGCTCCGTGGGTACTATGTGCCTGGGGTAAAGGCTGGCCTGTGAGTAGCTCTGGGCAGCAGCATCTGTCACTGGCCCTGGATGTAGAGGACTCATGTGGGACAGTGTGGACAGAAGACATGGATTGAGCACCTATGATGGGTCAGACACTGTGTTAAGGACTTTCCATGGATTATCTCACTTCATCTCACAAGGATCCTACGGTGTTGGCACTATTATTACCCCATTTTATAGATGAGAAGACTGAGGCACTGAGCAGCAAGTGAATGGTGGGCAGATGGGTCCAGAGCTCAAGTTCTTTACACTGCCCTCTCTTGCCTAAGGACAGCTTGCCCTATTCGTGTTGTGGGTAGAGGATGGTAAGCACGTGGAAGTGTGCAGGTGTGAGAGCACCCCTCCAGCCCCCCGACCCTGTTCCTCCCCCTTCCACACACTCCCCTCACCTTTCTCTTCAGCTGCTGGATCTCTGCCTCCGTCACAGCATGCTTGATCTGGAGCTGCGGGGGACAGGGCAGGTGCTCAGTTCCCAGGGGGTTGACAGAGCTACAGGTGGGATGCTGGCCCCCCTTACCCTCCCCACCCCAGGACCCCTTCTTCCCACCTCCTTGAACTTGTGCACCAGCTTCTCGGGCTCCATGTCCACAGGGGACAAGGCATCCTCATTCTCTGCCAACTCGAACACCTCGATGGCCATCTCGCCACCCGGGAACGTGGGGCTCAGCTCCTCATCCTCGTCGGTGGCGTACTCCCCGGTCTGCGGAGAGAGGAGGCCATGCACCCTGCCCATCCCAGCCTCCCTCAGGCCTGACAGAAGGGCTTAACCTGGCAACAGTCTACCCATGTCAAACTGGGAGCCACCTAGGGGGGTTGGTTCATGTTACCCCCATCGGACTGGGGCCAGACTAGGGGCAACATGATTTGTGTCTTCCCCTGAAGGCATGGGTAATTCCCCATAAGAGAGATTATGTCCCCTGGGGTTAGGGGCTATGCTGTCCCCTCTGAGTGGGGGTTCTTTGAAGAACTCTATTTTCCTTGTAGGGCCTTGTAGGAAGCCTCTCTGAGAAAGAGGGTGTGACTCCTCCATCAGGGTTCCTGGAGAAAAGGGTGTGCATCACCTCCCCCAGACTGGGGGCTCCCCTAGGACAGGGAAGGGTGCTCTGGGCTTCTTACAAGGCCTGGGAAAGCATGGAGGCAGAGGATGTCTGTAAAGCTCCATCCAGCCACCAGAGGGCAGTGCTGCCGGCAGCCAGGCCAGGAGTCCTTACCTCCTCATCCTCCTCCCCATACTGGGCGTATCTCTGCTCCATCATCTCTCGCTGCCATCGCTCTTGCTCCAGGGTCTGCTGAATTAGCTGAGCCACCTCGCTCTGCTCACCGGGCCGCTCCCGGCCAATCATAAACCTGCAGGGACACCAGTGTCACTCCTTTTGCCTCTGTCCTCAGCGGGGCTAACGTCACCATCCTCCCCGCTGGTGCTCCTCTCTCCACACCCAGGCCCTCCCAGGGGAGGTGAAATGAGAGGGCTGAGTCCAGAGGCTGCAGAATGTTAATAATGAATGGGGGAGCTGGGGGCCCTTATTGAGTTTCCCTCCTAGGAGAGGCAAAGGCCCACTGGCCAGTTTGGGGGGAGGGGTGATGCCAGCCAATCTTCACTCTGGGCTGCAGGGGACGTGAGTTCAGGAGCCGCCAGTGCAGAGCCTCTGACCCCACCACGGGGGAGGAAATGAGGCGGGATGGCGAATCGGAACCACCTGGCAGGGCAGGGGCTGAGGAGGGCTGTCTTGTCTGGGCTCCAAGGCCCTGAGCTTCAGGAAGGGGCGGGATGATGGTGACCGGAGATTAGGATGGAGAGGAAACAGTGGGACTTCCAGGCACCAGCCCCTCCTCCCCGTGGCCACCCACATCCTGTTTCTCTCCACCACCCTTTCCTGGGGGCAGTGCCCCTCTTGGAGGGGGCAGGGAGTGATCCCTGAATGCTTTGCCAGAGAGGGACACGGGGAGCTTCTAGAACAATCCCCTTAACTGGCAAGCTCAGGGAGAAAAGTGCTTCCAATCTGCATGGCATTCTCGCTGTACATCCTGTTTTTCAATGAAGGAGTGCACAGGCGGGGGAAGGCCAGGCTGGAGGTGTGGTGCCGAGTGGGCCTTGAAGCCCAAGTGCTGGTGGCCAGCAGCGGGCACAAACTAAGGGTGGGAAGGTACGGGCAGAGCAGTTCCTTCGGGCAGGGACGCAGGGGGACCTCCTCTGTAAGTTGGGTCACGCAGAACCGTAACTGTATGTGGGCAAATGGGCAGAGTGGCCGGATAGAGGCCGAACCCCCTGCCTGCTCCCAGTCCCCACCGGCCCCCCTCCCGGCCCTCACCGCACGCGGCCCTTGGTGTTCCGGAGCACGGAGGCTGCGAAGCTCTGGGTCACTCCCACCAGGCTGGTTCCGTCCACCTCCACCAGGAGGTCGTTCACCTGGATCCTAGGGGAGGGGACACTGGTTAGGCACCAGGAGGGGATCCGTGGAGCTGGGGGAGGGTGGCCCCTTTCCATTAGAACTCAAGGCTCAGTGCCCACAGGGACCTGGTCCTTTGTCTGCCCGCATGAAATGCATGAGGCCTGGGGATCAGGACCAGCCAGACCCACCTGTGAGTTAGTTGGCAGTGAGACCTGAGCAAGCCAAGCGCACACTGGCGCCAGGACCAGGAGCAACAGCAAGCTCCCTTCCCATGACAATCACACCGACAGAGCAGTGTGACATCCAACAGAGATCAGAACCGCCGTGCACACAGGCAAGGCCCACGCCCTTACACACACGAGTCTGCACAGACCTGGTCTGAAGATGACCTTCCAAATGTCTGCGGCCTGCCTCACGCACTCTGCTCCTCAGGGTCCTCTCACCCTGATACTGGCACGCCCCCCACCCCGAGCAGTCCAGCTGTGCAGCCGACACGTGTTCTCCACACATGGGGAGAGACGGGGCTGGCCCACCCGGCCTGCTGAGAGGGATGGAATGAGGGGACCTCCCTCGAGCCCCAGGCCTTCTCACAGGGCTCCTATGTGGGAAGGGAGGACGTGGCCTATTGTAAACACTTCACATGTGGGCACAAGCCTGTGGACACACACTCTCATGTGCACACACACACCCCTAACTGCCAACCAGGTGACCCCGGGGAGATTCTGGAAAGTCCCAGTGAGAAGGTAAGTGAAAGAGCCGGGACTATCCATCTTCCTCTTCTCTGACCCCCTCCCCAGCCACCTGCATTGCAGTGGACAGAGGCCTCTGGTAGAGGCAACCCCACCTCTAGCAACATGACCCCAAGTCATTAGCCCTCACAGGGCTACCCACTCACCTCTCTCACGTGAGAGGGGTCTGCGATGGCGGTACCACCACAAGGCACCCTTGACGTCAACCTTCAACTTACAGCCCTGCCATGGCCTGAGCCCTTCCCACTTCCCTGTGCAAGACGCATACAGCAGAGCTGTCCACAGAAGGGTCACTGGGCTTCCCAGGGCTCCGGGAGGTCCTTCCAGAACCTTCTGACCGAGAGATGCCCCCTCTAGCTCAGATACCAAAACACAAGCACACATGACACATGCAAGGAGCAGGTTCCTCTGCAGGCACACATGCACCATCTTTAGCCACCCACATACCTGGGTCCCTCTATGCTCTTGGTTCCAGCCACAACCGCCTGCATTTGGTCCCCGGCCTGGAACCTCCCACACCCAATACTCCCTTTTAGCCTCGTCAACGTCTGCTCATCCTTCAGTTCTCAGCTGCAATGCCACTTCCTCCAAGAAGTCTTCCCTGATACCCAGAGAGGTCAAGTCCCCTACCCCCCGCCCCCTTTTTTTTAAGGGCTAACGATCAGATTTTATTTACAATTTGCATCCCACATTTTGTCACTGGACATATCCCCACGTTGCTCATTGTAAACAAAATACCTCATCAGGAGAGAAGAACCATACTCTATGCGTGCTGTTGCTGTACAGACACTTTTTATTTTTCTATAAATACTGTGATGGGCATCTTTATGTAGAAAGCCTTTTCTGCATTTAGGATTGCTTCCTTAGGCTCTGGTGAATATTGCCAAACTGCTTTCCCAAAGAGGGTGCACCAGCTGCACTTGAGCAGTTGTAGGGAGCTGCCGGCACCAGAGGAAACTTACAGTGGTAGCCACCCTGGAGGGGGAGGTCAAGCCTTCCTTTTTATGCCTTCCTGGCGCCCTGTATTTTTCCTCCATTTCACCATTTTCTGTGTCCACTTGAATGTCTGCCTCACCTCACCACACACCACACCTCACCACACCACACCTCACCACACACCACACCACATGCTTCCTAAGGGCAAGTATCTCATTGCTGACTCCCCAGGGCCTGGCACCAGCCCCAGGACAGAGTCAGGAATTAGATATTTGAGGAATGAAGGAGGGAATACTCAAATATCTCCAGCAGGCACACAGTCTCCATGCTCCTGCTCTCCCTACCGTGGCCCCACACACACTGAGACACCCTAAACCAGCCCTCGTCTTCAGCCTCTCCCCCTCCCCCCAGAATGCAAGTTCATTGCTGTGGCCCAGGCCTCTGCCAGCACCTGGCACAGTACTGCTCCACCTCCATCTGAGCCATCCCGGCTCGGTGGCCGCCCCGCAGACAAGGGGAGGGAGAGGTGGTACCTGCCGTCCCGATGGGCTGCTCCGCCCTCAGTCACAGTCTTCACGAAGATGCCCAGCTTCTCCAGGCCCATGTCCGCCCCGGCCCCCATGCCGATGATGCTGATGCCCAAGCCCTCGGAGTCTGTGGAGCAGAGGGCAGTGAGACGGTGGGGGGCCATGGAGAAGGGGGAACAAGGAGGTCTAGCTCAGGGTTTGCAGGGGACAACGTGAGAGATGCGCCCCATCCCCAGCCCTCACTCTGGGGCATGGTCCCCCTCCTTGCTTAGGATGTCCCACACTGGGGAAGGAATGCAGGTCTGTCTACCTCGTCTTTGCCAAGTCAATCAGGACGCTCTTGGGTCGCTCCCTGCCCTCTGTCCACCCAAGGAATGAATGGGCAGCAGGGCCTGCTGAGGGTGACCCATGTGGGGGGCCAGAGGCCACATGCGGGCCTGTGGAGGGATGCGGATGGAGTCGGGGTGGTGACAATGGGCTCCCTCTTTAAGAACCTCATCCATACTCACAGCTTCAAGGACTTCCCGCTCTTCTCTCCCAGCTGCACAACCCCCTCCCATGGGCCTCTGACAGCCAAAGTCATGGTCTTCCCCCACAAACTGGCTCTTCCTGTCTGGCACTCCCTCGTGGGGCCTGGGAGTCACCCGGATTCCTCCCTCCCCTCACAGCCTTTGCCCAAGCCAAACCACCACCAGACCCCGCCAATCTGCCTCCCAGGACCTCTCAGTCACCCACCTCCCTCCCGCACGGCCACCATCTTCTCCACACAACACAGCCTGCAGTGGTCTTTCTTTTTTTAATTCTCACCTGAGGGTATTTCCCACCAATTTTTAGAGAGTGGAAGAGAGAGGAAAATACAGGGGAAATATCGATGTGAGAGAAACATGTCAATTGGTTGCCTCTGGCATGCACCTGGGCCGGGAAGGAGGCATGTGCCCTTGACTGGAATCAAACCTGGGACCCTTAGGTCCGCAGGCTGATGCTCTATCGGCCCGGAGAGGTCTTTGTAGAACACCTTTTCCACACAGTCCGTCTTAGGAAAAAGACAGTGTCCTTTTGTCTCCGAGGCCTTGCTTGCGCACCCTCCTTCCCCTCGCTGCCCAAATCCAGCCAAGCCCGCCTTCTCTCTTCCCCCAAACTCCCCTGAGCTCCTCCTCAGAGCCCAACTGAACAGCACTTCCTCGGGGAACCCCCATCCCACGTCTGGTCAGATCTCCGTAAAATGCTGTCATTTCAGCCTCCCCCCCCCCCCCCCCCGGCCCCGATCTCCCAGCACCTATCACAGCGCATAAGGGGTATGGCTGTCCCGTCCTGGTCTGCTGCCCCCTTCGGCCTCCCGTCAGGTCTGGCCCACACGGTGCCCTCGGGAGCAGGGAACTGAAGGAGCACACAGAGCTGGTGGTGGGAGCCTGGGGCTAGACTGGAGTCCGTGTGGCTGTGGGTTGCCTACAGGGTCCCGGGCAGAAGCTGGCACCAGAGAGGAGACCCACATGGCCCGGCCCCGGCTCTCACCCTTCTCCAGCTCCACAGGGAACAGCTCCAACCTCTCCACCCGCTTCTCCAGCTCATACTCGGCGGAGGCCGCCATGGGGTCCACGTCCTCGTTGCGACGGTCGTAGTCCTCATTGGAGTAGGTGCTGAACACCTGGGAGGGGACACTTGTCAGAGGGCAAGGGCAGGACTGGCGTGGGGAGGCCAAGAGGGCAGGCTGTGCCACCCACCGGTGTTCCCCTCCTACCAGAGGCCTCCTCCACCCCCTAGACAGGCTCTCCCCCAGCCCACGGTAACCCCAGCCTGGAGTGAAGGCCCTTCTAGTTCTGGAGTCCATGGGAGAGAAAGGGCCACAGCCTTGCCCAGCCCACTCCGTTATTCTCTTTTGCAAGCCCAGCAGTGTAAGCATGGCCCCCAGCAGAAGGGGAGGAAGGGCCATGCTGGGGAAACTGCCAGACTCAGGAGCCCAGGTCCCCAGGACAGAGAACGACCAACAGAGAGGGACCAGTAGCAAGTAAGAGCTGGGCCGAGGTGAGGGCAGGCACAGACATGGACGCAGAGGGTAGGGGAGCAGAAGGAACAGGCTGTGAGCAGGAGAGGGAAAGAGGAGGAGGGGAGGAAGAATGGAGATGCTAGAGGATGCCAGATGGGGAGAGGAGGGAGCGGTGTGAGAGGCAGGGAGGGGGAGGGGAGCAGGAGACACAGAGATGGAGAGGACAGGGCTGACCTGAGGTTGAGGTCAGGGGAGGGGAGGGAGGCAGGAAGGACCACCTCCACCCTCACGCGGGAAGGGTGCCCCTCAGATGGCAGGAGCAGAGAGAACCCCCATGGCCTTGCCTGCGGGCCTCAGTCCTCCGGGACTACCGCTCTCAGAGGCAGGCCTTCGGGAGACAAGCAAACCCAGCTCAGCTCTGCCTTGTCCCTGTGCCCCTCTGCTGTCTTCCTCTCCCAAGTCTCTCAGCACAAAGGGGCTCCCCAGCCCGACCCCCCAAAGAACAGAAGATGGGGCCGGGGCTGTGTGGGAGTGCCTGATTCGGGGCCCAGGCAGGGGAGCCTCCGTGGGAGGTTAATAGCACCATTTGGGATGCCATGACTTGTTCCCACTGCACTGCCTGCACGACAGGTTGGCACCACTTGGAGCTTAGTGGGGGCGAGAAGGGGTGGGAGCAGCCGTCAGATGACGGGGCCTGAGGAGCTGGAGTGGGGCGCCCCTTCTCCGAGAACCAGTACAGTGTCCCAGGAGCACGGGGTAGGCAGCTGCACCCTGGGGTCCCAGCTTTAGCTGGGCTCTTGGGTCCATCCCCCCAACTCCAGAGGCTCACTCCAGGGTGGGGAAGGGGAGCTATGTGGCCACGTAACTCATTGCCCTCAATTTCTCAGCATCAGAGAAACGCAAGCTCAGGCCCTGAGGGCTCATCAGCCACTGGGCAGCAGGCAGGGGGCCTGCCCTCATGCCATCTGGCCGGCAGCCTCCGAGCCCCTGGAGGGAGGAGGACCCAGTCTGCACCTGGTGCAGACGCCAGCGTGCGGGCAGGGTGAGACTGTGCCAGCTGGGCTCTGGGGGGTGGGTCGCCTGTGACTTTGTCCTCATTGCACACGTGACCCAGGCCCTCGGACAGGAGCTGGTGTGAACCAAGACTGAGCAAAGTGGGTTTGGCCCACTTTTGCATCCGAGTCAGGGTCCCTTCATCTCCGTCTTTGTGGTGGCCTGGGTCCCTAACCCCTCCCCCATGCAGTCTCACTGTGTGTGTGCGTATACACACACACACACACACACACACACAGTGACCTCCAAAACACCCTCACAGCCTGTCCTGGGTTCTGCCCTCATCTTCTTCTCTCCGTCTATTCAATCCTGCAGGAAACTCGGGCCTCAGGCTCAGAGGTCCCAGACCACCCCTCACTTTGCCCACAGAGCGCCTATCGGAGCGCCCTGGGCCCAGGTGACAATCTGTCCTCAGCAGAAGCCTCCACAAAGGCAATAACTGGGTCATCAGCGGGACACGGGCCCTGGACTTAGTGTCCGTGCAGAGTGGGGGCAGGGAGAGGGAAAAGATGGGGACTGCCGCCCAGGGCGGGGAGGAGGAGATCCGCAGCAAGGGCAAAGGTCAGACACAAGAAGGCAGGACCACACGCCACTGGCTCCCACTCCCAGGCAGCGGCAGCCACCAGGGAGTCGGGGAGCACTGCTCCAAATCATGCGCTATTTTTTACCCCAAAACCAGGGTAAGGTGTCAAATATAGACAGTCAGAGGCCCAGGTCTCAAAGATCAAACTCCACCTCTGAGGGGATCAGGCGGCTCAGAGAACTGGTGGTGGTGGTAAGGGGGTTTCCTGACTTCCTCAGAGTCCCCCACCCTTCCTCAGCATCCCAAGAATCACCATAATCCTCAGTTCCCTCCAAGGTCTATGGCTTCAGAGGGAAAGAGGGAAGAGAACGGACTTTCAGGTCGTAGGTGGGGAAGGGGCTGGCTGGGGGGAATAGCACCTGTCAGGCCCCTTGATGAGAGGGACAGGTTAAGATACTCTGCAAAGTGAGAGGAAGCTGGGCCAGCTTCCGTGCCCACAAGTCGTCATGGAAACGGCAAGCAAACAGATGAGGGTTTGACTAAGAAGGGGAGAGGCAGGGTCCAGGCCAAGAACAGTCCGGGAACGGCACCCCATGCAGGGGACCTGGCCGCTGAACCAGGGGGAGGAGAGCGAGGAGAAAGGGCCATCTAGGCTGAATGTGCCAGTCAAAAGTGGGGGTTTCTCAGCATCAGAGAAACGCAAAGGGGGAGGAGGCCTGAGGTTCTTCTGTCTCCCCAGGAGCTGCCTCCCTTCCCCACCCAGCACTGCTCTGAGTAGCTGAGGCACTGGCACAGTCTACAAAGAACCACCGAGAGGGGTGGTGTGGATAAGAGAGGACAAACTGAGACTCCCCCCCACAAAGGGGCAGTTCCCATCCCTCTTTCAGGGCAACCAAAGAACATAGCCAAGAGCACTTAGGGCCTGCCAGGGCCTTGGGAGTCTGTCCTATTGAGCGGCCAAGAGCAAAGGCATGCAGGCTGCGGCCAGGTCCCCTGGGGGGGTTCCCAGCCCCACCCCCTCCTCCCTGGCCAGCTGAAGGCCCAGCCCCCTCAAGGGCCACACGGAGAACCTATTCCCTGTGGAATCCAACACTTCCCCCTGGCCCACCCAGACCCCAAGAAAGAGGGCCCCAGCCCTGGCCTTCCCCCACCCCCAGTCACATGACCCAAGCCCGGCTCACCCTCAAAGAACTGCTTCCCTCTTTCACTTCTGCAAAGCTGGGGTGGGGGCTACATGCAAGGTGGAGTTAGGGCTATGGTCCCCTGTTCCTTAATGTTGGGAAGTTCCCGGCTCCTCCCTCCCACATCCTAAACAGCTCCTACGTGAGGGGAGTCCAGGGGGGGTTTCCAAGCTCCCCGGACCCTCTCCTGCCCAGAGCTGGGTAAGGACCAATACGGGGAGGCTCTCCTGTGGACACACACACACACACACACACACACCCCTTCCCACCACCAAGCCTTTGCCTCGGGCACCTCTGGAGGAAGAATGGCTGGGAATGGAAGGGAAAGCAGGTGCCCCAGGACCCATGGGGGGGACGGGACTGGGAGGGGTGCAGCGTGAGCGCTGGGCGGGGCAGCAGACAGACCAGAACCTGAGGGCAGGTCCAGGCAGGCCGCCCCAGTCTGGGGCCTGAAAACCCTCCCCCTTCTGACAAACAGCTGGGACTCCCCCCGCCCCCTCAGGGGGTAACTTCTGGGCAGGGGGCTGAGTGTCGGGGGCTGACAGCCTGCCAAACTCCACGAGAAGGCGAAGTGGGGGCGACGGCGTGCACGTGGCAGGGGCGGCGCGGGCCGGGAGGGGAGGGGGGTCACTCACTTGGATGGGCGCCGTGCTGAAATGGATCTTCCGGCTCGGAACCGGGTCCTCTTCCTCCGACAGCCCCGGGATCTCCATGCACCCCGACTCTGGCTCATAGGGGGGCTCCCCATCCTCCTCTTCGTCGTCATCTTCATCGTCCTCCTCCAGGGCGCTGCCCCCGGAGTCCTCCCCCAGCCCACTGTAGGCGCTCACGTCCACCAAGTCCGCCTCGGAGAAGTCCTCCTTCTTGGACTCATCCGCCTCCTCCGGGGCCGCGTCTGGGGCCCGGCCATTGCCCACCCCTCTCTCGGGCGCCCCCACGGCGGCGGCCGCCTCTTCCTCGGGGGGCCCCGGGGCCTTCGGCTCTTGCGGTGCGGGGGGGCTGGCTGCGGGGGCCGGGGTGCTGCCATTCTCCAGGGCCGCGTGGACGGTCACCTCCGCTTGGATCACCTCCCCGGGCGCCGCCGCCTCGGCCTCCGACTCCCCGCTCTCCTCCACCTCCACCGGCTTGATCTTGCGCACCTCCCGGGGCTTGGGGGGCGGCCGCGCGGGGGCCCCTCGGTGCTGCGGGGGCTGCTGGCCTCCGGGGCCGCGCTCCTTCTCGGCGGCGGGGGCATCCCCCGACGGGGCGGGCGGCGGCGGCGGCGGCGGCTGGAACACGCGGGACCGCTTGCTGACCAGCTTGGAGCTGAGCGGGGGCGCCCCGGCGGCCGTGGCCCTGGGGAGGCCGGGCCCGCCGCGGTGGGGGCCGGTCCTGGCGTCGGCCTTCTCGAAGACGGCGCTGAGCTGGCTGACGGTGGGCGACACGGCGTCGGCGTCCAGCTTGTCCAGGGCCTCGGTGCTGCCGTTGAAGCGCACCACCACGTCCAGCTTCCGGTCCTGCAGGCCGGCGCGCTCCTGCCGCAGCAGCCGCCGCGCCGCCGCCTCCCGGTCGCCGCCCGCGGCCGCCGCGCCGCTGCGCTCGAACAGCTTCCGCGTCTCCTGCAGCCGGGACGGCGGCTGCGGCGGCGGCGCCGCGGGCTGCGCCGAGGCCGCGGGCTTGGAGTCGAAGCGGCTCACGCGCTCGGACACGCTGGTGCCCAGCTTGAGCAGGGCGCTGTGGTCCACGTTCTCGTTCAGGCTGCCGGCCCGGGGCAGCGACAGGCGCACGCCGCCGCACCCGCCGCCGCGCTCGGGCGCCCGCGGGGCCTCGGCGGCGGCGGGGCCCGCGGCGGCGCCGGCCGCCTCGCCGCCCGGCGGCCCCGCCGTGGGGGTGCCCATCTGCAGGAACATACTCTTGATGCGGTGGACGTTGGAGCCATATTTCTTGTGGTGGGCCGCCTTGCTGGGCGCCTCGTCGGGCCCCGGCGCGTCGGGCGGCTTCAGCGCCTGGATGCCCGCCTCGTAGGCGCTGCGGTGCGGGGAGGCGCTCCGGAGGGGACCCCCGGGCCCCCGCGGCTCCGTCTTCATCATGATGGGGGGAGCCGGGCTCGCATGCCCCCGCTCCCCGCTCCCCCCCTCCAACAGGCGGCGGGCCAAGTCGGAACCACCGCCCCCACCCCCCAAAAAAGAACCCCCCCTAAAGGCCTTTTTTATAGGCTCCCCCCAAAACCAAGCTGCCAAAGACAGTTAAGGCCGCTTAAAAAAAAAAAAAAAAAAAAAAAAAAAAGGAGGGGGGAATCTCCGAGCCCCCGTGTGGGTCGTCTCCACCAATCAAGCTGCCCAAGACAGCCAGCCCCGCTTCCCAAGCTCCAGCGGCCTGGTCCGGTCGCCCCCAACCAGATTCGAAAAGCGGCGGCGGCGGCGGCGGCGGCGGCGGGGCCGGTGGGACCGCACGCCCTGCCCGCGAAGCAGCGGCGGAGGCGCCGGCTCACATCGTCCGAGGCGGTGTCAGCGCGGCTGGCAGCCCGGGCGTCCCCCGCTCCGGCCGCGGACCTTGGCTCTCGGGGGGGCCGGCACCCCGGTGCCCATGGCTGCTCGGCCGGCCCGGGCCGTTCCGCCGCCGCGCCACCCTCCCTCCCTCCCTCCCCCCCGCGCCCCGATCCTCCGTCTTTCTCTGGCTCAGCCCGAGCGGCGGCTGCCGGAGACCGAGCGGCTGCCCTTCTCGCCGCCGCCGCCGCCGCCGCCGCTGGGGAACTGGCACCTCTGGGTCCTAGAGGGATCGGATTTCCGGGGCCGGCGCCCGTGAGCCCTCCCCTTCCCCTCCGCTCCCATGTGCCCCCTCCCGATCCCACGCCGGCCTCACGCCGCCGGCAGCCTTCCGTTGACCCCAGGCCCCGGCCGGTCCTCTTACAGGCTCCCATCCCCACCTAGGGCTGCGGCTTATCACACAGCCCACATAACCGCACCCCCACTATAAACTGGGGGGAAGCAACCCAACCACAGTGGTCTCAGGGCCGTCCCTCTCCACCCCAAAGTGAAGAGGGATCCGTGGGGAGGGGCCAAGGAATGTTTCCTTGAAGGTATTGTAGCTCCCTGGCACCATTCAAGGCCATCAAGGTCGCTCTGGGATTTTAAATGTTTAAAAATGTCAGATATGGGGGGGGGGGGGGGGCCCTTCCCAAACTTAGTGAAGTAGAAGCTCAGCAGCCTGCCCCTGGAATCTGCATTTTTAACAAGCTCCCACGGAACCGTCCTTGGGACCTGCCCTCTGGGTGTGAAACCTTGGCCCCGAGTTGCTGGCCTTGTGGGGAGGAGGAAGGGGGCTGGAGAAAGAACATGGCCCTCCCCCAAGCCGGCCTGGTCCCCGGGGAAGTCTGAAGCGGTCGTCCTGACCCTGGCCGGCTCTGCACCCGGGCTGGAAGGGTGGCAGCAGGTCCCTGTCTTCGGGCCCCTGCTGGGCCATCTTAACTTCTCAAAAAGGAAGCCGTTTTGGAGGAACCATTCTGGAGGCCTTCGCCAACGCTTCACCAGCTTTGGGTCTCTCTGCTCTAAAACGATCCTGGCCACCGTGTGCAAGTGTGTGTGGGAGGAAGGCCGAAGGGTGGCAGTGACCTACGCATCCTCTCTTAGCAACCCAGAAAGATGTTTTGATACTCCCTCACATTACCACCCTCCTCCTCTCCCCCCCTACATCCCCCTTGCAAACAAGGGGCCTGGGTTTGCCCTCTAGTCCTTTCCCGCTTCCAGGGCCTTGGAGAGGAGGGCCACCCTCTATCCGTGACAGGTCCAGATGCACTATTTCACCCCAGATCCCAGAAACCGATGAACGCTGTGGACCCTAGGACCCAGAGAACAACTCAGGCACAAAGCCTCCCCCCACTCCCAGCTGCTTCCTGCATCTCAGGCCTTCCTGCGGCCTCCTCCCCCGCCCTCTTCCCTTCCATCCTCTTCCTCTTCTTCCCAATCTCCCAGTCTCCCCTCCCCCTTGCCTGGAAGGGCTGTCAAATGGAACCTTTCCGCCCCTGCCCTGTAGGTGTGTGTGTGTGTGTGTGTGTGTGTGTGTGTGTGTGTGTAAAGGTTTTGTGGCATGGAAACCGGTTAGCACGTGTAAGAGAGCATGGGAGAGGGGGTGGGGGGGACGGTGTGGGAAGCCGCCTGGGAACCCTGGATATTGGGACAGGGAGGGGCCAGGAACCACAGGATTGGGATCATGAGGCTGGCAAGCCTCGGCCTAAGTGAGAAGGAAGATTTGGGGTCCCAGCTGGAGCCGGAAATGAACCCAGACCTCAGGCTTCCCAAGGCCACCTGCCTCTGCTTTGCCCAGCTAGTCTGGAATCGTCCCTCTCCCCAGGGTTACGCTTTGGCATGGCTTAGGGCAGAGTGAGGACCCCAATCTCCCCTTCCCTCCTAATCCGCCTTAAAAGACTGCTTCCGGGAACAAGCTCTGGGACTTGGGTTTCAAAGCTCAGGTCTGGGGTTTGGCAAAGCCCCCCTTGCCCCCAACCCCAGTGTGGAAGTGAGCCAGATAGAAATCTCACCTTGCCAGGGTTGGGGTTTGGGCAGTGCCCTCAGAAACTCTGTGAATTGGAGGAGGTCGAAGGTCCCAGGGTGTTCTGCCCAGAATCTCCCACACCCGTGGGTGAGTCATCTTAGCTGGTCCCAGCCCAAGGCGTTTGTGCCCACGCTCCTGGCCAGGTGGGGAAGACGGCTCCTAAGGGTGGGAGGAGGAGCCGAGGACCAGCGTTCAGGCCCGGGGACCCTGGGACCCCAACACCATCTTCAGCGGCACCTTGGGGCAAACCAGAATTCTTGGGATGCCTGGGTCCCCCCCATGTCCAGAGACTTTCCAAAGTGAAATCCCTTTAAGGGCTCAGGAATACGGGAGGGTGGAGCCTGCCCAGAGCTTGGATGACAGAGGCTAATGAGTGGGATTATTATTTCATGGGCTCCTGGTTCGCTCCGTGACACCCCCAGCCAGAATTCCCCGAGAAGCTTTTATTGAGCAATAAGTGCTTTCCCATCACTCCTTCCTTCCCTGAAGCCAGGCACCCAGCCTGCTGGCCTGGGAGATGTGACTCCATCCCCTCCTCGGCGGCCTGGAGCAGGGCTTTTCTGGCCACATCTCCCCGCTGAGGATGTGTGGACGTGTGCCTAAGGATGAGGAGGACTGTGACTTGAGGGAGGAGTGCTATCCAAATTGGAGCGTTTAAATCTGATGTTTACTCCTCAGGCTGTGGTCCTCCCCTGTATCCTCCTGTTCAGAACTCGAGGGTAATCTACATAGAACCACTCCTTCTTTTCCCATTGTCCTTTGTGGAGGGGGCCTTGATAGTCATGTTGCCTGGCGGTCTTTGAATAAAAGCTCACTCCTGGAAAAGAGGGTGGAATGGGTCCCCTCGTTCCGTGGTCGGCAAACTGCGGCTTGTGAGCCACGTGCGGCTCTTTGGCCCCTTGAGCGTGGCTCTTCCACAAAATCCCATGGCCTGTTTTGAAGAAGTGGCGTTAGGAGAAGTTTAAGTTAAAAAAAAATGTGGCTCTCAAAAGACATTTCAATCGTTGTCCTGTTGATATTTGACTCTGTTGACTAAAAGGAGTTTGCCCACCACTGGCCCTAGTTGACCCAGGAGCTAAGCTGTTAGAGTTCAAATCCTGGCTCCACCACGTACTAGCTGTGTGACCCTGGGCAAGTCACTCAGCCTGTCTGTGCTCTGAGAGGACAAAGGAAGGGAAAGTGGCTGGAACTCAGAGGACTGGGTGTGTGGGGAAGGTGATGATAAGGATCCTCAGACCTGTTCCTTGAGGCTTGCTGGTTTTAAACACCAGGTGTAACTGTGAAGGCTGGTGATGATGCAGGCAGAGATCTGATTTGTGATATGCAGCAAACCCTTAGCGCCCTGGGCTCAGGCCCCAGCTGGGTGCCAAGGCTGGCTTCCCTGCCCTGCCCTGGGGCCTAGAGACTCAGCCGCTGTGTTTCCTGGCCACCATCATCTGATCAGAGGCTGGCCTTCCGCCCTTTTCTGCCCCAATCACTCACTTTATCTGTTCTCCTCTGCGAGGGACTGGGGCTGCTCTGAGAAGGCTCTAAAGATATTATGTGTATGTGTACACATGCTTGATATCCCGAGCTCACATCCAGGATGTCAGTGTTGGAGGGCTTTAATGGCTCTTGGCCGACCCTGCCCCAAGGGGAATGAGGAAGGCTGAGATGTGGAGAGAAAACTGACTTAGCCAGTTTTTTGTTTTTTTTAAAATACATTTCATTGATTTTTTACAGAGAGGAGAGAGATAGTTAGAAACATCGATGAGAGAGAATCATCAATCAGCTGCCTCTTGCACACCTCCTACTGGGGATGTGCCCACGCCCTTGATCAGAATCGAACCTGGGACCCTTCAGTCCGCAGGCTGACGCTCCAAACTGATTTCAGCAACTTAGCCAGTTTTGAAGGAAAGAGTCCAGGCTAGGGTTCGGACATCTGACTTGAGTCCTAGCTTCTCTACCCATTTGCTCAGTGATCTTGAACGAATCCTTTCTACTCTCAAAGCCCCTATTTCCTCAAAATGCTTCATTGGGATGTCTGAGTGTGTTTCCTGAGATCTGGATCCTGGGTCTCCCCCGCTCAGAGAGGGGCAGAGCAGAGCATCTGGCTCTGAAGCCAGATCTTCATTAGAACCCCTCCCCCCCAACCTGCCACTTCCCAGTTAAGGGACTTCAAATTCCGCACCATCAAGTTGAGATAATACCCTGGCCTCATAGGGTGAGGGGGTTACATAGGTTTGAAATGCAGACAGCATTTAAAACAGCTCCTGACACGAAGCAGGAGCTTGGGGTTGACTGTCATTGATGGCATGTGTCTCTGCACACGGATGAGTGTGTCTGTACATATGCTCATGGATGGGGCGGTATGGCTGAAAATGGACAGGGTTTGCCTCTCTCCATATGTCTTCCTGGGCAGACATGGGCCTCTTGCTTCCTTCTTTGACAGGAAGTTCTGCAATGTCAGCACCCCCTGCCTGCCGCGGCTCTAAATCCTTTGGAATCATCTTTTGGAGAAAAGGTGACCTCTCTCTCTCTCTCCTTCCAAAGGGTTTTT